TGGTGGAGAACCTTCCAAGGTACTGCTCACATTGTTTCCGCCAAGGTCACGATGTGGAGACTTGTCATGTTTTAAAGCCCGAGTTGCGAGGAGCATCTGGTCACCATACCAAGACTACTGGAACAACACAACTACGGTTGGCAGAGACGTCGAATACAGACATGCCTGATGGCCCTTTGGAGGGTAATGGAGAAAGGCCATCGGTATTGATACAAGATGCGGCAGTAATTGATGGGGCAAAGGGAGAAGTTAATGAGACTGTGACTGGCAAAGCGCTAGTTGCTCACGATCAGTTAATAGGTGGTACGCCTCACGAAGCTGAGCAAGGTGACCAGGTGCAGCAGTCCTGTGCTACTATACCAGCGCAGCAGGAGAGGAAAATGGAGGAGAATTATGGGACGGTGGCGGTAGAAGGTATCGAGGTGGTGCTGCCACATGACAAAGGAGAGGAACGTTCTGAGGATGTGGGGAGTGGGTTGCCCGCGAGGGTGGTCGTACGTTCTGCTGAGGGGCAAGTTGAAGACATACAAGATACTCAACGAAGGGACGGTACCCTCTCCCCTAGGGGCAAGGATCTTATCCGACAAGAAGAGTCATCACTAGAGACCGGGCATATAGACACGGGGGGTACCCTGGAACTAGAAGAAGTTGTTCGTAAGGAGCGAATGGATGCAAGGTCGCGTGGTCTCCGGGTTGGTCTCCCGTCAGATAGAACACTACGCTCCATGGTTAGTTCTTCAACAAATTCTTTTTCTGTCCTTTCTGATGATTAAGTTACTTTTTTGGAATATAAGAGGGGTAGCTCGTGCTCCTAATTTAAGGCGGTTAAGGAAACTTATTAAATTGTATGATCTTCAATTGGTGGTTGTTGTTGAACCTAAGTTGAGGGTGGAGTCAATTACTGATATTAGAATTAAATTGGGGATGGATTGTTGCATGTTCAATCATTGGGGTTCTGTTTGGATTTTCTACCGGTCATTGTTTACGTGTCAGATTACAGGGGAGTCTCCCCAACATATAACTATTAGAGTACAATCTCATCTTTTCCAAGACTCCATTATTTTGTCTTGTATACACGCGAAGTGTACGCAGCAGGACAGAGAGGATTTGTGGAATGCACTTTTGCAGGATAAACCCGCCTTCAATCCTTGGTTTTTGGTGGGGGATTTCAATGTGGTCACAAATACAGAGGAGAAGAGGGGTGGATTGCCATTTAGACCGTCGGAGGGATCAGACTTTCTGAATTTTATGGCGCTAGCTGGTGTCAGTGATGCGGGATTCTCTGGGTCAAGGTTTACATGGTGTAATAATCGTTCGGGAACGGCGCGGATCTGGAAGCGTCTGGATCGCTTACTTCTGTGTGGGAGTGCAATGGAGCTACCGTACCAATTCATGGTGCAACATTTAGGCCGTGACCCGTCGGATCATGCTCCCTTGTTGCTATCGGTGGATACGAGGCTAGACAATAAACCCAAGCCGTTTCGTTTCTTAAACATCTGGACCACTCATCCTGATTTTCTGGGGGTTATCAAGGACTGTTGGGTTCATCCAGTCAATGGCTCTCCTTTGCAAGTATTGGCATCGAAGTTGAGGAATGTTAAAAATGCCCTCAAGCAGTGGTCTAGGACGACATTCGGGGATATTTTTGAAGGGGTACGTAGTGCAGAGCGTGTGGTAACCGAGTCTGAGACAGCATACGACCTCGATCCTACTGAGCAGCGACGGAGCGAGTTACATCATGCTCGGGCTCGATTGCGCCGAGCGCTTGTAGTTGAGGAGGGTTTTTGGAGACAAAAGGCGCGGGTTAAGTGGCTTTCGGACGGAGATAGGAACACCAAATATTTCCACTCCTTGGTTTCGGAAAGGAGACGTAGGGCAGTAATTCATCGAGTCAGGGGTACTGCTGGAGAATGGATCGAGGGGGAATGCCAAATTGGGGAGGCAGCGGTGGGTTTCTTTAAGGAACTTTTCACGGCAGAGGGGGATCTTCCCTCCCTTACCGGTCTGGAGATCATACCTAAACTGATAACAGACCAGGAAAACTCACGGTTAACGGACATTCCATCTCTTACAGAAGTTAAAGACATAGTCTTTGCTATGGATGGAGAGAGCGCAGCCGGCCCGGACGGGTTTACAGGGAAATTCTTTACCTTTGCTTGGGAGGTAGTGGCATCGGATTTATACCGGGCGGTTGTCAGCTTTTTCTGCGGTGCTGAACTACCTAGGAGTATCACGGCTACCTCAATTGTGTTGCTGCCAAAAGTGGAGAACCCCCAAGATTTTAAGCATTTTCGTCCAATCAGTCTGTGCAACTTTACTAACAAAATCATCTCCAAGCTGTTATCGGCAAGGTTGGCGATGATATTACCCCGGATTATATCTCCACAGCAAAGCGGGTTTGTCCAAGGGAGGCAGATTACAGATAATTTCTTGTTAGCTCAGGAGTTAGTAGCCGATATCGGGAAATCAAATCGGGGTGGCAATGTGGTCATCAAGTTAGACATGATGAAGGCTTATGATAAAGTCTCATGGCCCTTTCTCCTACAGGTGCTACGATATTTCGGATTCAGTGAGACCTGGATAGACATGATTTGGCGATTAATATCGAATGTGTGGTTCTCGGTACTTGTTAATGGTGGTTCAAACGGCTTTTTCAGATCTTCACGGGGTTTACGGCAAGGGGATCCAATTTCACCAGCCTTATTCGTTATCGGAGCTGAGGTGCTGTCTAGAACCCTCAACACGCTACCCACACAAAGAGGATTTACTCCGTTCAAAGTTCCTCCTCATTGTTCTATAATTACGCATTTGGCATTCGCCGATGACGTGATTATCTTTTCCAGTGGGGCCAAGTCATCCCTACGTCTGATTACACGGGTTTTGGATGATTATAATGAGGCATCAGGTCAGCGAATCAACCCTCAGAAGAGTTGTTTCCTTACTCATCCACGGGCACCATCTCAGAGGGCAGCGGTTGTTAACCAGATACTAGGGTATAATAAACGCGACTTTCCAATACGGTACCTTGGTTGTCCCTTGTATACCGGAAGGAGCAAGAAGGTTTACTATACGGATATATACAATGCGGTGGCGAATCGGATTTTGAGTTGGAAAAACCAGATTTTATCGCTAGGAGGCAGGGTGGTGTTGATTCAGAGCGTGTTATCCTCTATGCCAATTCACTTGCTGGCAGCCGCGTCCCCTCCAAAAGGGATGTTGATGGTCATAGAGAAATTGTTCGCCAAGTTCTTGTGGGGATCTTCGAATTTCGGGGATAAATTCCATTGGATACGTTGGGCAGATTTGTGTCGGCCGAAGGATGAAGGGGGTGTAGGCCTGCGGGGTTTGAAACAGGTCTACGACTCATTTTCCATTAAACTCTGGTGGAAATTTCGACAACAACAATCATTATGGGCAAAGTTTATGTCCCAGAAGTATTGTGCAGGTCATCACCCTTGTCTTGCTGATATTGGGCATCCGGGATCCCAAGTTTGGCAGAGGATGGTCACAATGCAGCGTTTTGGGGAGGATAATATTAGCTGGGTAGTTCGGGAGGGGGCTTTGGACTTTTGGCATGATAATTGGATGGGGTCAGGTGCGCTTTGTGACAAGGTTGAGGTCTTCCATGATCATTCGGTGGTTGATTTTGTAGATCGGCGGGCTTGGAATGTGGACATGCTCCATCAATTCTTGGATGGAGAATTGGTTACGCAGGTTTTGGAGATTGACCCTCCTACCGATAGGGGAAATGATACAATGGTATGGGCATTGACGAACTCGGGTGTTTTTTCCACTGCATCGGCTTACTCATTGATCCGTCAATCCAATGACAATTCTTGGCTTTTTGGTCGTATATGGCAGCAGGGTCTTCCAGTCAAGGTTTCTTTCTTTATGCTGCGACTACTACAGGGGAGGCTCCCTCTTATGGATCGCCTAAAGAGGTTTGGGGTTTGTGGCCCATCTAGATGCTTGTGTTGTCAGAATCCCCAGGAGGAGGATTTGAATCATGTGTTTTGCTCAGGAGAAGGGGCACGATTGGTCTGGCGACACTTCGAGAGTACTGCTGGTGAGTTTAGTGGGGTGCATACGGTGCGTCATATGGTGTGGTCTTGTTGGTTAAGGAGGGGGACTAATGATCGTGTAAAGTTTTTGCATAATATACTTCCTTCGGTGGTATGCTGGGTTTTATGGAAGGCTAGGAATGAAGGGGTGTTTGAAGGTCGGAAGATGAGGATCAGGCCTACGGTGAATCGGATTGTTCAGTTTCTGCATGATTTCCTTCAGTCACGGTTCCCGGGGGTGCAGCCTTCTGCCCCTACATGGGAAGGGTTGCTTCTCGAATTAGGTAGTCATCAAAGGCGGATGGTTATTAGGCCAGTTTACTGGGTAACTCCACGTAGAGGCTATAAGTTGAATTCAGATGGATGTTCTCGGGGGAACCCAGGAAGGAGTGGGGGGGGTGGGCTTGTGCGGGATAGTCGAGGAAATTTTGTATTCGGCTACGCGGAGCCCTTCGGGGTGATAACCAGCATGCAGGCGGAACTTCGAGCGTTGCTATGGGGCGTTAGACATTGTGTGATTCGAGGGTGCTTGGAGTTACACTTAGAGGCGGATTCTCTCACCCTGGTTCACATTGTTCAAGGGACTAGTGCTTGTCCTTGGCGTTTACAGAGAGATCTGGATGAGTTGATGATGTTCAAGCAATATTTCACATCGATCACACACTGCTACAGGGAAGCAAACGCACCTGCAGATCGTTTGGCAAATTTTGGTGCTGATTCTAGTACAGGTCATGTGTTTAATACATTCTCAGAATTGCCGCAATTGGTTAGGGGGGCTATTAGATTAGATCGATTAGGATTTCCTACGTTTCGTACACGGTGTCTGGCATGAATTGGAATAAGAAGCAGAAAAGGCCAATGAAGGTGAAAATGGCGGTTAGAAGGACATCAAGGGAGGAAGATTGACTGCTAAAATCTTCAAAGATCATCCTTCAGATTCACTGGAAGACATCCTGATATGGAAAAATGAAGATTTAATCTTAATTTCAGTTTTTAAATGCTTAAACTTTCACTAGCTTGTAAATTTATTGTCAAATTGTGGTTTGATGGCAGGGAGTTTCGTCCTTTTTTAAGGGGAAACTCTGCCGAAATTTTTATAAAATAATAAAATTTCAATTAAAAAAAAAAGTATATATTTGTTGGTAGTGAAAGTAGAGAGAAATTTATACTTTTATTCACTAGTTTGTTTGGAGTTCACAAGATTGCAAATGAGGTTGGAATAACATCTATTTTTACGGAAAGCAGAATGAATAATACATTAACTAACTTTAATACTTATACATGGAATAGTACATCAAGATGATAAAATTGAGTTGTTTCATGAGAAGATAAGTGTATCACATTAATCTAGGGGGAAAATACATGTATTAATCCTCTAGGGGAATTGAATGGACATCCACATCTATTTGTATTTGTTTCATAACAAGTTTGGTGTTTTTGCCATTTTTGTTTTGGGTAATCATGAAAAGTTTTAAGTCTCACAAAAAATGATAACTCTTTTTGTTTTAATCCGTCGAGACATTGGTTTACACTATTATCTCGCTGCAACATAGTTTCAACATATTTCTCAAAATATTTTCATCTAACTTTGAATTCATGTATATTCCTGTTTGGTTAAGTTACACTAAATTTCTTTAACAATTATCATTCAATTCAATATACTTTAAAATAAGTTAAATTAAAAGAACCGTTTTCTCTTAGTCTTAAAAAGAATTAAGTTAGTAATATTCATATTTGAGAACAACACGTTACCCACACTAAGTCTAGAAAAGAATTACTGATGTATCAGAATTATCGTTTTCGAAAAAAAAGATGTACCTGTTTATTCAAAAAAAAAAAATCATTGTTTCACTAATTTAGATAAAAAAAATCAACAAAATTGAGATGATGTACAGATTATTGAAAAGGGGCCAATTTTGTCAAGACTTCATGTTTTCTCACCAAAGCTATTGAGCACCAATCTCAAAAAAGTCATAAAGAGCCAAGCCAAAGCAAAAAAAAAAATCAATAAGGAAGGCAACAAACTGGCCTGTACGGTGACCTTATCCTTTTGGATTCATTTCAGCGGATAATGATTCATTTACACTTGATAGTGATGTAAATCTGCATCCATCTTCAAAAGCAAAAAATACCTCCCTTGTTTCCTGTTAATGATCATGGAAGTCATCTATAGCATCCTAGTTCTCAGTTTCTTGGTAGTCTTAGTTGCTATAAAACATCTTCAAGAAAACAAGAGAACACTAAAGCCTCCAAGTCCACCAGCTCTCCCAATTCTAGGCCATCTGCACCTCCTGAAAGCTGCCCCTCACCGTGCTCTTCAACTTCTCTCCATCAAATACGGCCCCCTGATTTCCCTTCGATTTGGGATTCGTCCTATACTTGTTGTTTCCTCACCATCTCTTGCAGAGGAATGCTTCACTAAGACTAATGATGTTATCTTTGCTAACCGACCAGGGTCCATTTCTGGCAAAATCCTTGGCTACAACAACAGTACTATCGGATTCTCTCCTTATGGAGACCACTGGCGAAATCTCCGCCGTGTTACCACCATCCATATTTTTTCTTCCGCTAGTCTCCACAACTTTTCCTCAATCTGGACAGAGGAAATCCGTTTCAGTGTCAGGAAATTGTTCTCAATGAACTCTGATGACAAAGTGTGGAAAGATGTAAACATGAACTCTGTGTTCTTGGATTTGGTATTCAATGTGATCATGAAAATGCTTGCAGGAAAAAAATGGCCATCTGATAAAACAGCTGATTTGTTTTCGCTGATCTCCTTCATGGGTATTTGTGATTATGTCCCTGTCTTGAGATGGATTGGATTTCGAGGGTTGGAGAAAAATTTGAGCAATTTACAGCAAAAGAGGGACAAATTATTCAGGGATCTCATTGATCAAACTAGGAAAAAGGAAGGTGAAGGTGGCTCATGCTCGACTGAGCAGAGAAGAACTGTTATCCAAGCATTGCTGTCCCTTCAAGATGCTGAACCTGAATTCTTAACTGATGAAACTGTCAAAGGGATCATACTAGTAAGCCAACTTGCCATTTCTCTTTTCTCCTTAACATAATATTTTTTGCTTTGGTAATTATTGCTCTTTATATCCGGTTTCTATTTTCATATTTCATTTTTTTTTAATGCAAATCAACCTTTTCTCCAATTAGTCAGTGAACTCCTCTTCTAGCTGGTAATCTCTTATGTTGGGCTTTACATTCATTTTGACAATACATGCCTTGTTGTTCTTCTAGATTATGTTCACTGCTGGAGTACACACTTCAGCTCTGACCATGGAGTGGGCTATGTCCCTTATGCTAAACCACCCCCAGGTATTGAAGAAGGCAAGGAGTGAAATAGACAACAACGTTACACAATCAGGGCAATTGATTGAGGATTCAGATCTCTCCAAATTGCCATATTTGCGTTGCATAATCAAAGAAACACTTAGACTTTTTCCTGCAGCACCAACTCTTTTGCCTCATTATTCATCTGAGGATTGCACCATAGGAGGCTTCAAAGTTCCTAAAGGCACAACTTTGTTAGTAAATGCTTGGGCTATTCACAGAGATCCGAAGGTTTGGGAAGAGCCAGCCAAGTTTAAGCCAGAAAGGTTTGAGGGAATTAATGAAGGGGCTTGCGATGAAGGGTTCAAATTTATTCCATTTGGAAAAGGTAGGAGGGCTTGTCCAGGTGCTGCCTTAGGCATGAGATTTATTAGCCTGACGTTGGGAACAATGCTACAATGTTTTGATTGGGAAAGAGTAGGGCCTCAATTGGTGGATTTAGAAGAAAAATCTGGTATAACTTTGGACAAGGCCAAGCCTTTGGAAGCATTGTTCAGGCCACGCTCATCCATGATTGAATTGGTTTCTCAGCTTTGACTAAAGAACATGACTGGTGGCTTTTGAAGATTGTATCATAATACTATCTGAAATACTTAAAGCTCAAACTACAAAGGTGCACCTATTGCAAAGTGTGAAAAAAAGTGAAAATAAGAGGAAGGAGAATATAAGCATGAAAATCTTTCAGTCTATGCAGTTATTAAATATTAAATAGGCTTTGAACTAAACCGTGTTTGGCTTTTTCTTTTTGCTTTTAATATTGGTCTTTTCAATTCACTGTAAGTGCATCTACTCGAGGTCTTTGGTTTTCCACATTTGTAATTATAGAAAATCTTCAACCTTAACTGCGTTTCTTTGTTGTTACATAAAGTGGTTTTGGGGCTTCAACAAAACAAGCAAAAAGAATGTCTTATGAGTAGAGATGTCAATCAAAATCCAATTATATTGGTTCGTCCAAATCCGCCCACCAATGATCGGCTCAAACTCACCCACTAATTTTGAATAAATTTAAATGAGTACCCAATTAAATTCATTTAATTAGTGAATAGTGAGTTGACTCGATTCATCCATTTGTATCCATTTAAAAATAATTAGACACTTAAACTCAATTTTTAATTAGTGTTAAGCAAATAAATTTGAATTTCTAATCAATTTAATAACAATAAATACCGTTATTTCTTATCAAATAGCATGCAAAAAAAAGTAGAATTGTAAGTGACTCATAAATAGATAATTGGGTATATCTATACTCATTTATTAAATGGGTATAAATGAATTGACTTAATTATACCAACTACTTAATTATGACCACCCAAATCACTCATTTTAGCACATCTACTCATGAGTAGCGAGGTTACCGAGCTAACTCGAACCCAATTATGGGTAACTCGAGCTAGACTTCAAAGAAAATTAGCTAAGCTCAAATTCAAGTTTAAGTTCGACAGTGAATTTCCTTTCTATGTCATAACTCAGTGTATCACCATCTTCAATTTATCCACCAAAACCGTTGCTAAGTTAGCTTAAGAACTCTTTTATTGGTATCAGTCTCTTTTATTTCACATTCACTCAAAACTTTTACATGTTTAACTTCCTTTGGCATACTTTTTTCTTTGTCAAATTTTTGTTGGCGGTGTATAAAGCTTTCAAGTTTTTCATATATCTGTTTGATGTATTAGATATGCATAATTTTGATGTTGCAAGTAAATTTATGAAGATACAACTCTTTTCGTGAGTTACAGGTACACATTCACCACTTCGAATCCCAGATTATTAGATTTTTTTTTTGTTTTGCATTTTTTTGAATTTTCAATTTATTTGTGAACTTTTCAAATTTTTGCAAAAATTTGTTCTTTTAGAATGATGACAGGTATTTTAGAAGATGTCTGTAGGTAATTATAAGTTCAATTTATCCACAGTCTCGTGTAGGGATGGCAATGGGGGCGGGTGCCCGCGAGGGGCTCTCGGGGCGGGGGGTGGGGCGGGGGCGGGAGGGAATTTTTTCCCCCCGCTTAGAAACGGGGCGGGGGACGGGGGAGTATACCCCCGTCCCGCCCCCCCGCCACCGCAAAAAAAAATAAATATATATATAATTATATATAATATGTAAGTTAATTAGTTATAAACTTATGATAATGATATTATTAGTTAGATGTATTATATAATGTATATTAGTTTATGTAATATAATTGATATTATCAATTATATGAATAATTATACATGTCTACTAATAAAATTTATTAATTAGTTATACTAAATTTACTAATACATTTATACTAAATTTCTAATTACACTTAATAGAATAACACTTTTTTCTCAAAAAAAAGCACAAACACAATAATGAATTAGTGATTGCATTTGTACTAAAAGTGAAAACTTGACTATTTTAGTTATATTTATTTCATCATATTGGATTGTATTCAAATAACTTTTGTTTGATTGTTTTTATGAGTTTCAATTGTAAAATTACAATGAATAATAATTTGGTGATGTGTTCAT